ACTAAAATATATAAAAAATTATGCTGGCAGAGTGCGATCCTGTAGTCCAGCTATGGGAGGAGGAAGGAGTGCTGAGCCAGGGAGTTTGAGGTTCTGCTGCGAGCTAGGCTGATGCATGGCACTGCAGCCCAAGACCAGAGTGAAACTTCTGTCTTAAAAAAAAACAACAACTCTGCTCTTAGGGAAGGACCTGGGTATCAGTCTTTTACACCTTAGTGGAAAATTTAGTAGCTGGTGTTCTCTCATCCCATGTTAGTTTGCCTTGCCCTTATGTTCTGATCTCAAAAGAAAGAATTTTCTTTTCCTTCTCTAACTGATTTCCAATGTCAGTAATAAGTAGCGGAGGAGGTTCTGCTCAGAAGAGCTTTCCCGACCTGCTGAACGCCCCACTTGGTAGGCAACTGCTCCCTTGTCCGTGTGTAGGACTGATGGAGGCATTATGAGGGTCGGCCCCAGGTTGGAGCGTGGAAGCATAAATGCGCGATTGGTTTCTCTGGTGCATCAGTCACTCGTGTTTAGGAGAAATTAGTGTATCAGGCTTAGCACCTGACCCCTCGGGAAATGGGGCCCTAAGTGATCTCAATGCTTGCAGTCATCTGGAATGGCAGCAGAGAGACTAAATGGAAGGTTAGACTCGATTCCATACATGTAGCTGCACGTCATAATCACATGCTGAGATGTTTGCTCATGTCTTTTTGTCACATTCATCAGACTACGAAATAGATACATTCAGCGTTCCCTGTGCCTTGTCCCCTTCAAACCTCAAGTTGCTTCATGTTCTTGCTAGCAATTTGTCTTCAAAACCTGCTCTCAGGCCGGGCGCAGTGGCTCACGCCTATAATCCTAGCACTCTGGGAGGCCAAGGTGGGCAGATCGTTTGAGTTCAGGAGTTCAAGACCAGCCTGAGCAAGAGCGAGACCCCATCTCTACTAAAAATAGAAAGAAACTAATTGGCCAACTAAAAATATATAAAAAATTAGCTGGGCAGAGTGGCGCATGCCTGTAGTCTCAGCTACTCAGGAGGCTGAGGCAGTAGGATTGCTTGAGCCCAGGAGTTTGAGGTTGCTGCGAGCTAGGCTGACGCCACGGCACTCCAGCCCAAGCACCAGAGTGAGACTCTGTCTTAGAAAAAAAAAAAAACAAAAAACCTTGCTCTTAGGGAAGGACCTGGTATCAGTCATTTACACCTTAGTGAAAATTTAGTAGCTGTGTTCTCTCTCCCATGTAGCTTTGCCCCTTGCCCTTTAGTTCTGATCTCGAAAAGAAAGAATTTTTCTTTCTCTTCTCTACACTGAATTTCAAATATCAGTAAATAAGTAGGGAGAGGTATCTGCTCAGAAGAGCTCTTCCCCGACCTGCGACACGCCCCACTTGGTAGGCAACTGCTCCCTCTGTCCGTGTGTAGGACTGATGGAGGCCATTATGGGGGTCGGGCCCCCAGGTTTGGAGGTGGGCGGAAGCCCATAAAACTGCCCGCGTTGGTTTTCTGCCATCCTGGGGTCAAGGCTGAAATCGTCAGGGCTGTGCAGCCCCAGGCGGCCACCGACAGGGCTGGGCCAGGCGTGGTCATTGTCCTCTGCTCTGTTGCAGGGAAGTGCTGTCCCCACTGCGACGGACCTCTGAAGCTGATTCCTTGCCGAGGCCACGGCGGCTTCCCGGTCACCAACTTCTGGAGGCACGACGGGCGCTTTATCTTTTTCCAGGTTGGATTGGAGTTGGTTATGGGATTCTGTCTCTCTCTTTAACGTGACACGTGTTTACAGAGAGTGTCCTTACGGAGGAGGTTCATCAGAGGCTAGTGATTCTCCGGGTGAATGAGATACCCCACCAGCCCTGAGAGCCCGATCCCTGGGACGGCAAACGCCTGCACCCCACACTTCACCAGAAGTCTGCCGTGCTAGCGAGGAACAGGCTGCCTCTGCCTCCAGCCCCTCGGAGAGGCCGCAGTTAATCCCATCACACTCCTTTCACAGACCCGAATGTGAATACCAGCTCTGATTTTTTTTTCCCTGAGAGCCCGACCCTGGGATCAGCAAACGCCTGCACCACACTTCACAGAAGTCTGCCGTGCTAGCGAGGAACAGGCTGCCTCTGCCTCCAGCCTCGCGAGAGCGCGCCAGTTAATCCTCCACACTCCTTTCACAGACCCGAATGTGAATACCAGCTCTGATTTTTTTTCTGAGACAGAGTTCACTTCGTGGGTTGCCCTTGCTAGGTGAAGTGCTCCGTGCGTCAGCCAGCTCCACAGCAACGCTCAAGACTCCCTGGGCCGCAAGCAATCCTGCCTGCCTCAGCCTCCCAGAGTAGGCTGGGACCTACAGCGCATCGCCACCATCCGCCCGGCTAATTGCTTTATTATATAGTTTTTTAGTTGGCCAATTAATTTCTATTTACTAGGTAAGAGACGAGGG